TATAGTAAATACACACAAGTCTCTATTACAGAAAAATTATCCAAGCAATAGGCACTAAAAACAAAAACGTCACTTCTCAATAGCTACACACATACAAAATATTTGAGAGAGATACTAAAGTGAGAAGAAACTGTCAAGTTTCACCCATGATAAATGTACGAACAAATAAATTCTCAAGGGCCACTCACACAACATTGCAGCCGACGCTGGCTCAAGAATGTAGCAAGTGAGGCTGTATCCTATGTTGGAACTCCACTGGTGCAGGCCCCTCCCATATTGTCAAAACCAGCTTCGGGGTTTGGGGTACACACCCACCCAGAGATTTTGTGGTGCATGGAAGGAGAGGAATCGTTAAGTCTCATTGTGCCAGCGGAGCCACATGTGCAGAACACTGACTGCAACCCACGGTCAGCTCTATTTGGCAGAAAGCGCTTCAGATTCTGAATTATGTACCTAGAAATGGAAACCTGCAAAAATTCACAGGTGTGTCGTGTTGTTGGCAACACTTCTCTGTGTGTCGGTTCCATGCATCCGCAACATTGGAGCATTAAATGAATACATAACACAGAACTATGGTGTGACCATGCTTGGAATACTATGTGCAGTTCTGGTGGCTGCATTGAAAAGTGGGTGTCGCAAGCCTGGAAAAGACGCAGAAAGGAGTGATCACGGAGCTGGAGCAATATGAGGAAGGTTTACAATAATGAGTAGTGGCAGGCAGGAGCACATTTTGCTGTTCAGGGTTTTCCAGTTATGGAGGAAAGCCCCCTTTCTGGTCATCTTGTGCCTAAATTCAAAATATGGTGGGACTCAGAGGACAGGTTGTGACAAAGATCATATGGTCCAGGCAGATTCATATGATATAGAGCTGCCACATTTTGCTTCAGATGAACTGAATGTAACTGTATGACGAATGTGTGCCTTTAGGATGCAAATTTTACACAGTTCATAGGAACTTTTATTTATTTCTACCTTGGCTTTTCTCATATCGTTAGTTCAAAGCAGGTGTCAAAAACACTAAAATATACAGTGGTACCTCGGGTTACATACGCTTCAGGTTACATACGCTTCAGGTTACACACTCCACTAACCCATAAATAGTGCTTCAGGATAAGAACAGAAATCGGGCTCTGGTGGTGCGGCAACAGCAGGAGGCCCCATTAACTAAAGTGGTGCTTCAGGTTAAGAACAGTTTCAGGTTAAGAACGGACCTCCGGAACGAATTAAGTACTTCACCCAAGGTACCACTGTAATATAAATAACTTGAAATTGCTATCCAAGTGATGTCTAATACTATATAACTCACAAAAAATGCAACAACCAATACCATGAAATCTGCACAGGGCATAAGGTTTGGTTCCTATTTATATTTGTCATTTTAGGAATTGGCCCAATCTGTTCCAAGTTGCTCTATGGTCTGTCCAATTTGGCTCATGCTTGGGATCTGAAGCAGCTTCACTGAAAACAAATTTCACTTTAATAGGAAATCAAAGCAGACAGAAGTGGATGAAATTTGCAGGCATAGCAGCCCCTCAAAAGCGGCTTAAACCTGCCAAATTTTTAAAAATATGTAGAGATTTGATTTGGGACGGGACACCTTGATTTTTGTAGAAAAGGGAAACATTTCCAACTTTTTATTTTATGTGCCAGAGAACTATATGAAATATGCAGCCACAGTCGCCCCTTAGGTTTCACGAACCCTACACAACATTTCAAGAGGAGCAAACATACAACCCTACAATAGTACTCCTATCACTGGAACGAAAACCTTCTCAGATACAAGGACTCTTTGCGCCACTTTATCCTCACCGACATATTACTGTCCATCTGTGTAAGTGGGTTCTGAGGCACAGTTCACTCAGCGTTCCAAACTGTTCAGCTGAAGTTAGTAGCTCACAATAATTTTCACCAGCCTGCCTACTTGCCATGTCTTTTGAAGCAATTCATAGCACATTAAATTCCTGAAAAGAGGTGGTGGAGAAGAGAACCTACTTTTCCCACGGTACAAAACCTGGTTACTTCCCTGTTATTCTTACTCACCCATGGTGACCAGGTGAATGTCTAAGTGGAAATTTGGCGCATTAATACACATCCCAATGTGCTTTGCTCACATGCCAAGTTGTAATGCACCCCATGACCAATCTTAACCCTGCAATGTTTTCAATTCAGGTTCTTCACAACTTTTATCTGGGAAACCAATGCTGGGACATTAGTGAATTGCCCCAAACCTAACAGGGCTGAGCAGTGATTCTAACCCAGCTCCATTTCCTACAATGGCAGCTCTTTGAGCCATTTGTCAATGAAGCCAGTGGAACTACCATGGTAAACCTGAACAGCAAAATGTGCTGCCTGCCACTACACGTTATTGCAACACTCAATTCTGCTGCTAGCTGTAATGTATCCTCACGATGCGAAACAGAAGGTAGCAGACTCCAAGCTTCCTGAAATGCAAGCGAGCAGGCATTACTGCTCAAAAACAAGCGGATAAAAACAAAGCAAAGAAATTATTAATTTCTCACCTTCTTGAGAAGAGACAATGGGTGGCATGTAATCAGGAATATACTCTTTCCTCTCTTCTGCATCTTTGCTTCCAGGCTGGGGGAACTGCAGGACATTATTCTTGCTGACAGGGTATAAGGGGATTTGATGCGCAAAAGTGACTGGCTCAATATTGAGTATGTAATCTTCCAGCTCATGCAGGTTGACCCCCATAAGATTGAAGGCTTCACCTACATCCTCCAAAATTGGATCTGTCCGGCCATCTGTTAAAAAAGAAAAGGAAAAAAGGAATCAAGAAAGGTTTTGAAAGCAAACATTGCAAGTGCATAAGAAATATGTTGATTTAGTAGCTTCAAAAGGAAAAGCAGCAAATCACTGTCAAGAAAAGTCCCAGCTGCCTCATTGCCTGGGTGTCCAAAAATCTGATTCTGGCAACTAGGAATATCAACACTTTTTCACAGGGTTCTTTAGGTCCTAAACACCTGACACTGCACTACTTGCATTCAAAATATTTGTTTCTACTTCTAGTTCAGACTTTTAAAATATATGCACACAAGGCTACAGCGCCATTGGAATAATTTATATCCATACATGATGGTGAGTCAAACTCAGGTGGCCAAGAATTACAGAAGCAAGTCAGCATGCCAGTGGCTCAACCTATGTGTAGATGCAGAAAAGTGATGCCCCATGATAATTTGTGGGGAACAGAAGGGGACGGGCAGGGACCTGGAAGACTTCCTGTCTCTTTTAATTCCAATGCATTCCTCCATCACCATCAACACGACCTCCACAAGGGAGCCCCTCTGGGAAACCCATTTGGTTGCAGGGATATAAAACTATGTATTTCACCATGTGGTAGAGTTTAAAGACAACGAGGTGTCCATGTGGCTGCAGGTGTCTTAGGCTCATATAAGCTCACGACTCCTCAGACAGTCACCTTTTTAGCAGCTGAAAGTATATACATTATTGTGCAGCCATATAAATATGAACAGTTTACCCTTTTTAGTTCCCCACCACCACAGACACTAGTTTTATTTGGACCATCTGTATGGAGTACCATCACATCCTCTGCTAGTCCCATCTCCCCAGTGCTAGGGGAAGGTATGTAAGGGAGAGGTCTACTCTAGGCACATTACCCACCCACCCCTGTTTAGAGCTCTGAATGCTGAGGGTACGAAATCAAAGTGGGGAGCCTAGAAAAGCAGACGAGACTCCCCTTGTCAGGCCTTCCCCTCGACATGTGGATGGTGGAGGACAGGGGCAGCAAGGGATGGGCCCCCTGTTCTGGTGCTCCATGAGAAGTTACAGAACTACTGATTTGGGCCAGGTAACAGCTCAAGATCTCCACTATCCCTGGGACAGATGAACTGTCCTTTGAAGAACGTATGGATCTGCTTTTTACCTTCTTAGTGCACTTAGCCCAATACTGTCCCCTCAACCAAATCAACTGAATTGGTACTTATTTCTACAATGAGCAATTTATTTTGTGTTCGTAACTTCATACCGTTCTATGTTCATGTATACCCACCTATATGTCTCTTGGGAGCACTGCTTTCCCTGTGAGATGAACCTCCGGGTCCCTTCCAACTCTATGATTCTATGATCATTCATTAAACATGCACTTCTTGTTGTTTAGTCGTTTCGTCATGTCTGACTCTTTGTGACTAAACATGCCCTACTGCCTTGTTAATCTCCAGATCCACCACCAGAGGGCACCCCATCCATTCCCGACAGTAGCTGATAGTTGCAACATTTTTTCCTCCCACCTCAATTACAAAAAGGCCCACAAATATTTGTGTTTGTGTTTATTGTATTTATATACCAGCTTTTCTCCCAAGCAGCTCAAGGTGGTTCTCCTCTCCTCCTTTTATCCTCACAACAACCCTGTGAGAGAAGACAGTGACTGGCCCAAGACCACCCAGTGAGTTTCATAGCTGAGTAAGGATCCGAACCCTGATCTCCCAAGTCACAGTCCAACACGCTAACCATTACACCACGCTGGCTGGTAATGGCAGGCAGTCAAACTGTGTACTTGCCCAAACCCTGACTGCCTCCACCAACCTCATATCCAAAGTACAATCAACTGGGAATAACTCTCCGTAGGTCCCAACGAGAGAAGAATGGTTACGGAAACTAATGGAGTATGCAGAAATGGCGAAACTTACCGGAAGAGTAAGAAATCAAGGCAACAAACTTTTAAAGGAATGGAAATGGTTTATTGAGTATACACAAATAAACTGTAAACAGATCAAGACATTGAAAGGATTATTGTAAAAACCTGCAGTTTCAAGAATATATGAGAGAATAGACGAGTAAAAGAATACTGTATTTTCGCCCTATAGGGCGCACCTATTTTTTTTGGGGGGGGGGAATAAAGAAAAAAAAATATTTCCCCCCTGAGCTTGCCGGGCTGGGGGCGGGGAGAGCCCGAGCTTCCCCCGACCCCAGCCCCCAGAACGGGTCCGGGAGCAACGGCGAGGTTGCATTCAACCTTGCCATCGCTCCCGGAGCTTGCGGGGCTGGGAGCGGGGGAAGCCCGAGCTTCCCCCACCCCCAGCCCGGCAAGCTCGGGGGGGGGGGGGAAATAATTTTTTTTCTTTATCTCCGCAGGCTTGCAGATAGGTGCCCTAAGCCCGGGGTGCGCAGTGCCACGCTCCCCGGACTTCGGGCTGCAAGCACCTATCCGCAAGCCTTCGGAGCCCACAAGAGTTCCTGCTGGGCTCCGCAGGCTTGCGGATAGCTTCCTGAAGCCTGCATTTGCCCCATAGGACGCACACACATTTCCCCTTCATTTTTGGAGGGGAAAAAGTGCGTCCTATAGGGCTAAAAATACAGTAAGTTAAGAAAATTTGCAGCATGCAGGAAAGAATGAAAATAAATGTAAAGAACCGCAGAAATGGAAGGGAGTCGAAGTCGGAAATGTTAAAGTTATGGTTAAATAATTGTTGTGATATATATAAATGAAAATTATAAACAAAATTATATTAAAAAAGAGAGTAAGTCTCCATACACTCCTCCAAACTGGAGAAGAGAATAGGAACCAATCCCTGTCATGCCCAGCACTGCTATGTCCATAAAGGAAAATAATGTTCCCCACGGCAACTAAATCTGTGCCCCTCTTACACGATTACCTCCTTCAAGACAAACAAACAAGCTGGCAGAGTAGAAGGCTGCTGTGCCACCAATATTTCTATCCAGCCTTCTTTCTGCCAGCTCGCTTGCTGCTTTGGAGCTATCTGGTATTTAGGCTGACCTCAGTCAACTCTGTTCCAACATTAAATGCACCCATTTTCTCCTTCATCTAACGGAATCCTCATCTCTTCTCTTACCTTCAACCATAATTCCCAAATAGGGAGCAAACAGGGAAACTGGATACTAGGCCGTGAGAAGCCGCAGTCTTTGGTCCACCACTTACAGAGAATATAACCCTATCAATTACCTTTAGCACCACTTTCCTATCCACCCCCTCTGTGAAAACTGAACTCCATACCCAAAAACACAACTAAAGAGCTAAAGGAGAGCCTGGCCACTGTAACATCATGCATTGATAAACTCAAGATTTGGCTACTGTAATACATTCTATGTGGGGCTGCCTGCAAAGCGATTCTAGAAGCTGCAGCTAGCTACAAAATATGGCAGGTGGGCCATTCTGGGGTTTCCTACTGCTCATGTGTTGCCAATTAGTTACCAGACTAGTTTTAAAGTTTTGGTTCTAACCTATAGAGCCTAAAACAGTTTGGGATCAAGTTACTTGAAGTCACTGCACCCCTATTTGATCACTACTACAATCAGCTGGGGACGCAGGTGGTGCTGTGGGTTAAACCACAGAGCCTAGGACTTGCCGATCAGAAGGTCGGCGGTTCGATTCCCTGCGACTGGGTGAGCTCCCGTTGCTCGGTCCCTGCTCCTGCCAACCTAGCAGTTCAAAAGCACGTCAAAGTACAAGTAGTTAAATAGGTACCGCTCCAGCAGGAAGGTAAACGGCGTTTCCGTGTGCTGCTCTGGTTCACCAGAAGCCGCTTAGTAATGCTGGCCACATGACCTGGAAGCTGTACGCCGGCTCTCTCGGCCAATAAAGCGAGATGAGCGCCGCAACCCCAGAGTCGGTCATGACTGGACCTAATGGTCAGGGGTCCCTTTACCTTGACCTTACAATCAGCTGACTAGGCCCTTCCAGTAGTGCAGCTTGAACTTCTTATGCCTAGTTTGTATGTGTTGCCGCAGATGGCTTGGTAACAGTGTTAGAAACTCAGATATATAATCTAATTGCCAAATGGCGCTTTCAATCTAGGTTATGTTTGCAGCAATGGAACATCTAGGCGCATATTATAATTATTGTGCAGTGGGGTTTATTCTTCTTCTTCTTTTCATTTCATTTCTATACCACTTTATACTTTAAAGAACAAATCTCAAAAGTGGTTTACAATACATTAAAATATCAAATAAAACAATACAGAATAAAACAAATTCAAGCTTCAGGGGAAATATTTCAGATCCTTCTCTAAGTGACATTTTGCTTTCCTCAGGCGCCAGCCTGGCAAGTAGAGATCCCCACGTGGTCGCAATTAGACCCACACCAGTTGCAAAATGGGCCTGCCACCTGGCTAATTTCTAGCACTGTTTGGTAAGCTAGTCACTGAGGCTTGGTAAACCTCATGAGCTCTGCAGGCCAGAGGACTCCCACACCTGCTAGTAGAGGTTCAATTGGCAGTGGCCAGGTGGAGGTCTTTTTCTGCGGTGGCACCCTCTTTATGGGACGCAGGTGGCGCTGTGGGTTAAACCACAGAGCCTAGGACTTGACAATCAGAAGGTCGGTGGTTCGAATCCCCGCGACGGGGTGAGCTCCCGTTGCTCGGTCTCAGCTCCTGCCAACCTAGCAGTTCAAAAGCACACTAGTGCAAGTAGATAAATAGGTACCGCTCCGGCGGGAAGGTAAACGGCGTTTCCGTGCGCTGCTCTGGTTTGCCAGAAGTGGCTTAGTCATGCTGGCCACATAACCCGGAAGCTGTACGCCGGCTCCCTCAGCCAATAAAGTGAGATGAGCGCCGCAACCCCAGAGTCGTCCGCGACTGGACCTAATGGTCAGGGGTCCCTTTACCTTTTTACCCTCTTTATGGAACTACCTCCCATCTGATCTCAGGCAGGCACCAACCCTCATGACATTTCAGTACCTACTAAAAATGTATATTTTCAGGCCTTCACCCATGTGATTCCAGAAGGTTGTTAGATTTTAATTTTGCCCTGGATTATCAGCGGCATTCTTATTTTTGATCTGATCGATCTTAATGCTGATATTACATCTAAAAATTATGTATACCGGACCAATGTGGCAGATGGCACTGAAATTTCAAAATAAAAAAATAAGAGACTGAAATGTGGAATCTTCCCTCAGCCACAAACTCGTGGAGTCTCTAATCTTACACACGTCTTCCTGGGATGAAGTCCCTCTTAATTCCACAGGATTTACTTCTCTTTCGCCATGCTTGTGGATGCAGAACACGTGAACTTAAGTAGGCTGCTGTTTTCAGCCTCAGCTCCACTCCTGCAATACTGAGATAATCATACGGTGGTACCATAAAGGACTCTTGTAAAGAATGCCAACATGTTTGTGAAATGCTTTGAGGATTACGCAGGGCTAAATAAATACTACAGTGTGAAATAAATGCTAGTCCAGGTATGCATAACTACACCCCTTCTCCGTCATCTTTATAACAACCCCTTTTTCCCCTTCTGGTAGACACCTGGTTGGCCACTGTAAGAGCAGGATGCTGGACTAGATGGGCCACTGGCCTGATCCAGCCAGCTCTTTGTATGTTCTTTTTTTAAAAAAATTTTTATTTATAAAAATTTTCAAATATAACAATAAAGGAAAAACATTCCATTCAAAATATACATCCAATTCTAATCTTTCCACTTTCAGACTTCATTCAGTCTATCTGGAAATTTTCCATATTATCACAATTATTCACATTTCTTCCATCTGTATTGTGTTTTTTTTAACCAAATTAATCTTAACAATTATTATAAAACAATATTTCTTTCCATTATTATCACAGAGCTTCTTGAAAGCCTACAAACGTTAACTGTCCTTCACATATATTTTTAATATACTCTGTAAATTTATTCCAGTCTTCGGTAAATCTTTGGTCTCGCCGGTTCCGAATTCTCCCCGTTAGTTTGTCTAATTCTGCGTATTCCATCAACTTCATTCTCCATTCTTCTTTCGTCGGGATTTCTTCCTGTTTTCATTTTTGTATGTTCTTATGTAAGACAACTCCAGCCCTTCACTCCATGAACCTGACAGACCCATGCACCACCTCCGCCTCTGAAGACAACCACATAGTGATCCTACTCCCCCCCACATTCAATATTAGTCAAGTGACAACAACCCACGTGGGCATCCCTCTCTTACTATGACAACCTTATGGTCCTCCCCACCCACCCACTTCTTACCATAACAACTCCATGGTACACCAGTGTCCACTACTGCAGTCACCTCACTCTCCAGAACACCATATGTCCCCCATCGACTGCAGCCCCATGGCCATATCATGCCACCACTATAACAACCAACTTGGGGGGGTGTCTCCCCAGGGAAGCTCACGCGGCACCTTTGTTCCAGATCTTTACGTGCCAGGCAAAAACATTCATCTTCTCCCAGGCTTTTGGCTGATGAAACAATCTACGGCCTTTAAAACTGTATGTGTGTTTGGGTGGAGGGAATATTGATTTTGTTTGTCACTGTGGTATGCCTTTTGCGGTTTTTATACTGTAGACGACCCTGTGATTCTCAGATGAAGGGCGGTATAGAAATTCAGTAAGTAAATACAGTACCTTAGGTTAAGTGCTTAATTCGTTCCAGAGGTCCGTACTTAACCTGAAACTATTCTTAACCTCACTTTAGCTAATGGGGCCTCCTGCTGCTGCTGCGCCGCCGAAGCACTGTTTCTGTTCTCAACCTGAAGCAAAGTTCTTAACCTGAAGCACTATTTCTGGGTTAGCAGAGTATGTAACCTGAAGTGTATGTAACCTGAGGTACCACTGTAAATGAATAGCAAACCCCACAGCCCTCCTCTGCCTCCCATACTGCAACAACCTCCCGCCCTGCCCCCCATATTTTTTTTACTATTATTATTATTATTATTATTATTATTGAATTTATATTCCACCCTATACCCGCAGGTCTCAGGGCAAAATCAGTATATAAAACCACAAAATACATAACCAAAACAACAACAACAAACCAATAATTCCCCCCAACAAATTTAAAAGGGCATAGCTAAAAACAGTTAAAAAACTTAAAAAAAAAACAATTTAAAAGAAGCAGCGCCCTCCAGTCCCATGGCCACATCGTGACACCTCCATGCCCACCCCATCTCCACATCCCCCAAATATCCGCTCCAGCCCCAAAGCCACGGTGTGCCAACCCCACGCTCCCCGTATCTATTCTAGCACACTACAACAACCCCACACATATCCGCTCCAGCCCCATGGCAGCATCCTGACACCTCTATGCCCACCCCATATCCGCTCCAGTCCCAAAGCCATATCGTGCCAGCCCCACGCTCCCCC